CTGCACACTGGGCTATAGTGGAGACTACTGTGAAGAGGAGGAGGAGAAGTCTAGGGCGGGTCTCGTTCTGGGCATCATTTCCATCCTACTCATGGCCATGGCAGCAGCAGGGACCTTTGTCTACTTCAGGAAGCAAAGAACGCGGCAAAGGTAAGGCTATTTGCCGTTCTCTACGCGGGTGGCGCTGTGGGTTAAATCACAGAGCCTAGGGCTTGCTGATCAGAAGGTTGGCGGTTCGAATCCCCGTGACGGGGTGAGCTCCCGTTGTTCGGTCCCTGCTCCTGCCAACCTAGCAGTTCGAAAGCACGTCAAAGTGCAAGTAGATAAATAGGGACCGCTCCGGCGGGAAGGTAAATGACTAAGCCGCTTCTGGTGAACCAGAGCATTGCACGGAAACACCGTTTACCTTCCCGCCAGAGCGGTACCTATTTATCTACTTGCACTTCCGAACTGCTATGTTGGCAGGAGCAGGGACCGAGCAACGGGAGCTCACCCCGTCGTGGGGATTTGAACTGTCGACCTTCTGATCGGCAAGTCCTAGGCTCTGTGGTTTAACCCACAGCGCCACCTGCGTCCCTTATGCTCACTTTGGCTGAGCCCAAAATATGGGCAGCAGTCATTTGCTTGTGCAGAGACAGTCTGCTTTGTTTCTAAATTTGAATGGCTTGCTTGTGCCTGTTGCAGTCCTTCACAGAATCATGAAAGATTCTGGTGCGCATGTGCTGCAACTGCGATTTGCATTGATGCATGTAGTTTGGGTTCCAAATTAGTGGTGCAGGTGGTTCTACAAGGTCACTGTGCCTCTTAACAGCTTAGCACAAGGGTTCCAGCCTAGGATTTGCATCACAGTCAATATGTGTATCTTCCTCCCACAGGACTTCAAGTGTATCATCAACTGGACCCCTGGCCAGCTACCAGAAGGACAGCGACAAAGAAGACAATTTCGTTGAAGATGAAACCTGTATCAATGCAGCTTATGATCCCGAGCAGGTGAGGGCTTCTTAAGATTCCTGTCCTAAGCTTCCAATTCTGAGCACTGGTATATGCTTCCTGTGTTCTTGGAACAAGTGTTCTTCCTACTTCGGGATTTTAAACCTGGCCTGGCTATTGCGAAAGGCAAAGCCAGCAGCAGGGTCAGAAAAACCTCGCTGCCTCTTAGAGCAGCTGTGCTTGTGAGTGGTTAAGATGCTGGCAGGACAGAGGGAGGCACGCTGGCTGAAATAAGCGCACCCCCTACTTGGCAAAGCTTCCAGCAATCTGTCTGCAGTTCTTCCTTGCCTGAAGAACTTAACTGGGTGTAGTACCACTGCTTTTGATAGTCCAGGTGAAAATGCTGAGAGTCCTAAAATGTGGCTTTGCAATCCTCCGCAGGAATTGTCGACTCCAATGAAGACAGGCATGGGCACAGACTCGTGAAGCAAACAAATAAATGATTCACAGTAGATCAGTGTCTTGCAATCTCTTTCCCCCCCAAAATGCATCGCCCGCACGATAGTGGGAATTTGGCATATGCTATGTCTGTTTCCAAGGGATGCGGGTGGCGCTGTTGGTTAAACCACAGAGCCTAGGACTTGCCGATCAGAAGGTCGGTGGTTCGAATCCCCGTGAGGGGGTGAGCTCCTGTTCCTCAGTCCCTGCTCCTGCCAACCTAGCAGTTCAAAAGTGCAAGTAGATAAATAGGTACCTCTCCAGCGGGAAAGTAAACGGCATTTCCGTGTGCTGCTCTGCTTCACCAGAAGCGGCTTAGTCATGCTGGCCACATGACCTGGAAGCTGTACGTCGGCTCCCTCGGCCAATAAAGCGAGATGAGCGCTGCAACCCCAGAGTCGGCCATGACTGGACCTAATGGTCAGGGGTCCCTTTACCTTTACCTATGTCTGTTTCCACACTGGGCATTTTCTGTGGAATATTTGCACTTTATTCTGGGCATTTGCATGATGTCATGGTCAAGAGTCTGGATTTTGCAGGAGGGAGACACCAGGAATTTTAGCGTTGTACAATTGAAGGGCTCTATCACCTTAGCCCAGGGTTTCCCAAACTTGGGTCTCCAGCTGTGTTGGGACTACAGTTCCCATCATCCCTGACCACTTGTCCTGCTAGCTAGGGATGATGGGAGTTGTAGTCTAAAAAAACAGCTGGGGACCCAAGTTTGGGGAAACACTGCCTTAGCCCAACACATATCCTTTTAGCAATTTCTTACTGACATTAGGAAAGTGACAGTGCATTGAAAATTCTGGAATTGATTTAAAAAACAACAACAAATCGAGATGAACGTTCATTGTTGTATTACCTGAGCACAAACAAATCTGACCAAATGGTCAGATCAGATATAATCTAACCTCATAATTGCGCAAGACTTGGGATGAATGGGTTATCTGGAGGCATTCTGAGACGTCCCAAGTTTTCCTATTGAGCTTTCCATTTTTTTCAGAGCTCAGAAAAAAAAGCAGACTGCTTTTGACACAGAGGAACAGTTGCACAGTTCCCCCAGATGTAGATAACCTGTTGCACAGGTCGTCTTTGGGATTTGGCTGGTTATTGCTAAAGAAATCCCCCTCTCTATGCTTCATCTCTCCTTAGTGTTAACTTCTACAATCGATGTAATCCTTCCCTTTGCACATGAGTACTGCCTTCATAGACATTTATTCCCTCCCCAATAAATTATTGGGGGGGGGTGTCACGTTTGGAAGTGCAGCAAGACGAGGAGATATTTCCCCCTATGCTCCAGCCAAATTAAAATTGCCCCAATGAAAATTTGGGGGAGGGGGAGGGGAACTGCCCATTTCCCTAGGACATTATTCGAGTTCCAGAACTCAAAGCAGAGCTTCCACTCCACTTGCAACTAAAAACAGATCGGCAATCTTTGGGAAGCACTGTTAAGCCAGCATTCTTCCTACTAGTTGAAGGGAAAGTACAAACAGTGAGTTAAATGTTTTTTCCCCCAAATGCTTTAAAAACAAAACAGGGCACAGTCTGCTTCCTTGTGAATGTATTATGCCTGCTGTGCAAATAGTATATAAACTGGTAAAATATTAACACATTGCATGGCAGTCACAGGAAAAATGGAGAAGGGGGGGGGAGGGGATTCTTCTCACTTGCAGAAAATGAACTCTGAATAAACTAAGGCGATCCCTGCTCTTAAGTCTCCAAACATGCACCTACAATTCCTGCTAGCTAGGCATGATGAGAGTTGTAGTCCAAAAACAGCTGGAGACCCAAGTTTAGGAAACCTGGACCTAAAGGCACAAGCAGGTCTGCTGCTAAAATCGTTGCCATCTGTTGTTGAAGCACCGACAAAATTTCTGTAAATTCAGGACTGCCCCTGGAAAATAGAGATACTTGGAAGGTCTGTTAATATATAACTAAGAGCCTTATATACTAATATACAGTATATATGTAACACCTTGAACTTGAATGGTAGGAAATAGGCCACCAGCATAGAGATATTGTATACCATGGGTAGGCAAACTAAGGCCCGGGGGCCGGATCTGGTCCAATCGCCTTCTCAGTCCGGCCCGTGGACAGTCTGGGAATCAGTGTGTTTTGACATGAATAGAATGTGTTCCTTTTAAAAATGCATCTCTGGGTTATTTGTGGGGCATAGGAATTAGTTCATTTTCCCCCCTTCAAAATATAGTCCAGCCCCCCACAAGGTCTGAGGGACAGTGGACCTGCCACCTGCTGAAAAAGTTTGCTGACCGCCTGTTGTATACTGACTGGGCCTCATTCTGCTCCAGTTGCAGTTTCCCGATCTAGTGTAAGGGAAGCCACCCATAGCATGCATTGCAGTAATCCAGCCTTGAATGCACCAATGCCTGAGCTAATGTAATCATGCTCTTCTAGTTACAGGTAGGTAGCCGTGTTGGTCTGCTGTAGTCGAAACAAAATAAAAAAAATCCTTCCAGTAGCACCTTAGAGACCAACTAAGTTTATTATTGGTATGACCTTTCGTTTGCAGATCTGAAGAAGTGTGCATGCACACGAAAGCTCATACCAATAACAAACTTAGTTGGTCTCTAAGGTGCTACTGGAAGGAATTTTTTAATTTTGTTTCAAGCTCTTCTGGTTCAGGAACAGCTGTTGTAACACTTATAAAGGTTCTGTAACAGAATTCTCATTACCATGCTTAATGAAGATTTCCTTGATTTGGGGGGGGGACATAGCAATTAATGTGTGCACTCTAAAAGGTGAAAAGGAAAAGTACCCCTGGATGGTTAAGTCAAGTCCAGGTGACTATGGGGTTGCGACGCTCATCTCGCTTTCAGGCCAAGGAAGCCGGTGTTTGTCCACAGACATCTTTCCGGGTCATGTGGCCAACATGACTAAACCGCTTCTGGTACCACGGAGGTCTGTGACGGAAACCAGAGTGCACGGAAACACCGTTTACCTTCCTGCCACAGCAGTACCTGTTTATCTACTTGCGCTGGTGTGCTTTTGAACTGCTAGGTTGGCAGGAGCTGGGACAGAGCGACGGGAGCTCACCCCATCGTGGGGATTCGAACCGCTGACCTTCTGATTGGCAAGCCCAAGAAGCTCAGTGGTTTAGACCACAGTGCCACCCACATCTCTAATACACTCTAATACACATAGCTCAGATGTGCTAAGCCATCATGCATTAACTCATTTCCCTAACATGCATTCCTAACATGTTTTCTCTCTCCTAGGAAAACATTCCACATACTCCAACCAAATACCTGTTGCTTTTTCTGACAGGTGGTCGTTTTAAGAAAATGAGTGCATGTAGAAAGGAAGGACTTGGGCTATTTATACACTATGAATTTAAAGCACATTCCCCACCCACTCAAAGAATCCTGGGAATTGTACTTTATCCCTCACAGAGCTACAATTATCAGCACCCTTAAGTTAGTTCCCAGCATTGGGTGGGTGGGTGGGAGATACTTTAAAAGTGCTGAGAATCAAGCGATCCTTTTGAAGTAAACACTTGAGGGGTAAGATGCATTTTCTGAAGGCAAGATTCGGCTAGTGACGCTGTGTAAATCGCCATACAAAAGATAACTTTTATTCTGCGTATATTGCATTTTTATGTATCCATCTGTAAATAGGAAAACAAGGCATCTCTTTGAGAGTACAGTCAAACCCTGAGGGATGATAGATTCCTGGTCTCTTACCAATTTAGTAAACAGAAGGTGGTGGCGCAGGGGGATGAAAGCAGATCTGTTGCTGCAGAGGAGCCCTGCCCCCGCTCCAAGATATTCCAGGGTCCTGAATTTTCAGCTTTCACCCAGTGTGCAAAAAAACCATCTTGTCCATTTGCTTAACAAAGCTCCGGGGCACTCTTCAAGTAAATGTGTGCAAAAGCAATAAAACAATTATGCTTGCTGCCCTGCAAGCCCCTCCCCATCCCAAAAATTGCACAGTGAAGAGGACCGCTCAAACTCCCTATCGCTTCCTCACGCAAGGGTGATTTAATTACTGTCTTAATATAATGTTTAACCTGAGAGAAAGCGAAAAGAAAAGCGTAGAACCAGAATCTGTAGCGGTTTAGGGCTATGGCACTTGCTTGATTCACGAAAGAGGTAGGAAAACGTCTTTGCCGGAATTAAATTTGTAGACGAACTTTCCACACTGGGTATCTTTGTTGTCCGAGCAGAGTTCCAGAAGGAATCTTTCTGCAGCTCGTTCCTTGCAAGAGTGTCCCGGCTTAGGGCTATAAGTCAGAATCGCAGGGAAACCTGCTCCAGTTACTGGGGTGTTCACTTTCCAGTACGTCCTGGGGGTTGGTGTAAGACCTGGGGGTTGGAGTCCTGTAATAGTCCATTTGGATCTCTGTGTTGCCAAAGGAGGGAGAAACGGCAGCCGTGGTCGCTGGGACCCTCTGACTGCTGGGTGGGTAGCTGTAATCCATCGCTGCTTTCTTCAGCTTGCGCTCCTTGCAGCACTGAGCAAAGCTGAGCGAAAGGGAGAAGCCCCCAATTATCTCCAGGCAGCTCCCTAAGTAGCCTAGCACCAGGCAGTAACCCACCGCTAGGCTACTGCCGGCCGTGATGGGAAGGTTTTGGATGTCGTGATTGTACCAAGAAACGGCGATCAGGCTAAGCAGCCCGGAAACAAAGAGCAGCAGGCCGCCCAGCCCAGCCAGCAGGTACTGGGGCATATCCTGCCAGCAGCGAACGCCCAGCGAAGCCACAACCAACCCCAGGACCGTGACGGCCACAGAGGATGGCATCAGCCCTTTGGCGACTTGCACAGTCTGGTGGGAGAAGTACCCCAGCGTGTCCTTGATGTTGCACTGAGTCTTCTGGGTGCCTTGAAACTCGTTGCAGATGTCCCAGATGCCTTGGTGCTGGATCATGTCGTAGGCTTGGTCAGGGATACGGCTTAAATCCCTCCAGGCGGGAGCCAGAGTGCTGGTTAGGTTCAGGACGAGGCCACAGGGGCCCAGGACGATGCCCACGATCATGGCGGTCGGCGTCCGCATTCTGTGCCAGGCGACAGACAGACAGAAGCTGTTATGGGTACAGACAGGTGACTGAAAAACCACTTGCCCTCAGGAAACAACCCTGGTTTACTTGCTCAGGTCCTTATATACCTGCTGTGGGATTGCTCAGTCCTGAGAAGAAAGCTAGTTTATGTTCTGCTTCACTGTGTGGTGCCAGCCAGGCATCGTATCATTTACGCCACACAAAGTCTGCTGCAGAACGCATCTACAGCTGTATAATAATAATAATAATAATTAATAATAATAATTTATTGTTTTTACCCTGCCCATCTGGCTGGGTTTCCCTAGCCACTCTGGGTGGCTCCCAACAGAATATTAAAAATGTGTTAAAACATCAAACATAAAGAACTTTCCTAAACAGGGCTGCCTTCAGATGTCTTCTAAAAGTTGGATAGTTGTTTATTTCCTTCACATCTGATGGGAGGGTGGGCGCCACTACCGAGAAGGCCCTCTGCCTGGAACCTCACTTCTCACCGTGAGGGAACCGCCAGAAGGCCCTCGGCGCTGGACCTCAGTGTCTGGGCTGAACAATGGGGGTGGAGACACTCCTTCAGGTATACTGGGCCGAGGCCATTTAGGGTTTTAAAGGTCAGCACCAACACTTTGAATTGTGCTCGGAATTGTACTGGGAGCCAGTGTCTTTCAGGACCGGTGTCATTTATATGGTCCCGGCAGCCACTCCCAGTAACCAGTCTAACTGTTGCATTCTGGATTAGTTGTAGTTTCTGGGTCACCTTCAAAGGTAGCCCCACACAGAACGCATTGCAGTAGTCCAAGCAGGAGATAACCAGAGCATGTACCACTCTGGCAAGGCAGCGTGCAGGCAGGTACAGTCACAGCTGGTGGAGCTGGTAGACAGCTGCCCAGGACACAGAATAAAGGGAAGATTCACAGGGGGAGAGTAGTTACATTTGGGGAAGACCCGACTAAGCTTGCAAGGAAACCCATGAAGAGCCCAGCTGGAGAAGCTGCGGCTCAGATCCGCAGAGGCAGAAGTCCCAAGGGACCTGCTGTTCCTTCCAAGAGCTATTTTCTAGCCCAGGATTCCAGTGCTTTAAAGGAACATCCTGTCCTTTAAAAAATAACTTCAAACCTTGAAGAAGACCTTTCCTGCCTTGGCTAGAGGGAGTGGGCTTTTATCCCTCTGCTCAGGTCAGCCTCCAGAGGACCTCAAGTCCACGCTTTCACCTGGTCCTCCCTCCACTCAACCAGCAAATTATTAAATCGCCTAAGCAGTGATACTGTTGTCATACAGCACTCAAAAAGGTCACAGGCAGTGGGAGACAATTCCTGGTTCGCGGGATCTATCCTTATTCCAGGTTTAAGCTGATGCCTTATGAGAACTGTCCCTCCCTCTCCCCACCCACCTGCAAAAATCCTGTATTTAGCCCTGGCTTGGATACAGATATTAAGGGAGAAGCGGCTGTTTACCTGTCGTGCTGCAGACAACGCCTGCTGCAACTGTTTCTCGCTCTCTCCCTGCCGTGTGCCCGGTTAAAAGAAACTGGCTAGTATGACCGAAACTTCTGTGTGTACAGAGAAACCAGGCTAGCGCTGCAGCTGAGCTTGTTCTGGGTAGTATTTTATGGGGAAGAAAGGGAGGGGAGAGGAAACAGAAGTGGAACCGCGGAATCAGGAAAGGGTTGCCGTTACAGGTGATGCCAAGTCAGTGACTTCAGGAAGGTGGGGCCGGCTCTCAGAGCACCTTTGGAGCCGCACCTGTTTCCGTGTGATGATCGTGCTTAAGGATGAAGGCGGTGACTTTTATTGTCCTGAATAAAGGTTGGCTCTTATTGCTTAGGTAACAGCACACCAAAGCCAATAAACACATACAAACTGACACTGCAGATCTTTTGAAAGGTGGTTCTAGGAACTGGATGGCAAAACACGGAGAGGCACAGGTGAGGCTGTGTACACGGAGCAATCTGGATGCTCTTAATTAATTGCCCTTGAGAGAAAGGGAGGGGGGAACGTGAAGTGCCCTGGGGCAGGACAAATACATTGAAAAGAGCTGCATAAACAACTCAGTGGCCATGTTAGATACCAAAGTCCTTTGTGCTTTGGTGTATGTAGTATAAAAACCGACAACTGGGAAACACTGGCCTGCAAGTGTTCCAGTTGGAGCACAGCCTTTGCCAAAGGTGTCATGGACTTTGTAGACACCTGAACTCAGGATGAAAGGGAGAAACGTGCTAAGAGGAAGGCACACTGTGCAAACCCTCACAGTGATCAACTCCCACCCGGAAACCTATGTCCCCACTATGGAAGGACGTGTGGATCCAGAACTGGCCCCCATAGTCACTTACGGACTCACTGTTAAGACCGTGTTCATGGAAGACAATCTTACTTGGCTACGAGCGATTGCCAAAGAAGAAGACTATCTCAATTATATAAGAACAAACATGCTTCATTTTTTATTCTATTTTTAAAGGAAAAGCCAGTAATGGAGATAGATAGATAGATAGATAGATAGATAGATAGATAGATAGATAGATAGATAGATAGATGATAGATAGATGATAGATAGATGATAGATAGATAGATAGATAGATAGATAGATAGATAGATAGATAGATAGCAGGGTCCTACCCAATCTTACTCGTCTGAGTGATTGCCAAAGAATAAGATTCCTTTAAGGTGCTTTAATTTCTTCATCCCACCAGTTCATTTTCTCACAGGTTTTATTTGGTTTTCAACTAGCCAAGGTAGCTGTGCCTTTAAGAGCAGCTGGATCTGAAGTCAGTAGCAATAGCGTTACTTGCTTCCTGTTTCTGCACATTCCTTGCCATTGCAGTCACAAGAACAGGCCAAGTTCTCCCCCCCCCCCAAGTGAATGGGTAACTCTAGATGGCTGCAGACCTTTAGACAAGGCCCCTAACATGGCATCTGCAAGAAGCCTTCACCTGCAGAGTGCAATAGTCCCGCTTGGACCACTGCAAAATGCTCTGTGTGGAGCTACCTTTGAAGGTGACTCAGAAACCGCAACTAATCCAGAATGCGGCAGCTAGACTGGGAGCGGCTGCAGGGACCATATAATACCGGTTCTGAAAGACCAACATTGACTCCGAGGACATTTCTGAGCACAATTCAAAGTGTTGGTGCTGAACTTTAAAGCCATAAACAGCATCAGCCCAGTATACCCAAAGGAGCGTCTCCATCCCCATCGTCCAGCCAGGACACTGAGGTTCACCTCTGAGGGCCTTCTGGTGGTTCCCTCACTGTGAGAAGTGAAGCTACAGGGAACCAGGCAGAGGGCCTTCTGGGTAAAAACCAGGCAGAGGACCTTCATGGTGCCTGCCCCGTGGCACGTCAGATGTGAAGGAAATAAACAACTGTCTGACTTTTAGAAGACATCTGAAGGCAGCCCTGTTTAGGGGAGCTTTTTATGTTTGAAGTTTTATTATGTTTCTGTATATGCTGGAAGCTGCCCAGAGTGGCTGGGGTAACAAATAATAAAATGATTATTAAAGTTATTTCAGATGTCATGGTCTCAATCTGTATTGGCCTTTCTATGCCAAAACCAGTACCTTGAACTTATCCCGGCGACTAACTGGTAGCCAGTGCAATTATTTCGACCGTGGAGTGACGTGTTGGCAATATCCTGCCCCACTGAGCAGTCAAGCAGCCGCATGTTGTGCAGATTCTGGAACTCCCTCGAGGGTGGAAGTAGACCTGTTCATGTTTCTCTTTACTGTGACCTCTCTTGAGTCGGAGTGTGTAAGATACTACCACCCATCCAAATTCACCCAGTGGTGGTCCCTAAAATCTGTTGCAGAAGCAATTACCGTATTTTTCGCTCTATAACATGCACCCGACCATAACACGCACGTAGTTTTTAGAGGAGGAAAACAAGAAAAAAAATATTCTAAATGAAACAGTGGATGTATGATTTTTGTGGTTCATGCTGTGGCCACAGTCATGTGATCTGACAGTGAGTTTGGAGTAGCCCAATGCAAAAATCCTGAGGATCCATGCTTTGTAACCACGTTTTTGCACCACTGCGGCCCCAGGCAACAGTGGGTGTGTGATTTTTTGGTGTAAGATGTAGCCATGGACATGCTATGTGATCTGATGGTGAATTTGGGGTGACCCAGTGCAAAAATCCTGAGGATTCATGTGGATCTGTGCTTTACACTCGTGTAAGCGGCTCCTCTCCTCTCCCGCTTTGTTCCTTTAAAGAAGCAGGCTCTCTGTCCCTCTCCTCCTCCCCACTCCGCGGCTCTTCTCCCACTTTGCTGTTTCAAAGTGAGCCACGGAAGAGGGAAGGAAGGGGAACTATGGATCTTCTGCTCACGACTGCAGCAGATCCCCCCCGCCACCTGTAGGCATTCCCTCCATAACATGCACAGACATTTCCCCTTACTTTCTAGGAGGAAAAAAGTGAGTGTTATGGTGCAAAAAATACGGTAGTTACATTAAGTTCAGGGTATCCCAGGAGCATTTCAAAAATTCAGAGCATGCATAGCCATTGGGACAGAACTTGCTGTGTCTGTCACAGGCTTTCCCAGGTCACTAAAAGACCCAGAGCATGGAAACAGAAGCCACCTGACGCTTGCTGGTGCAACTAACACTGCGGGACATTTCTTGCATCCCAACTTCGGAGAGGAGTAATATAGTCCTTTGGGGGGGGTGTAAAGCTAGTGACGTCCAGATTTTAATGGCAACAACTGAAAAGGGGTGCTGCTTCCTTTTTTGCCCAACTGCGGTAACAGACCCTTCAAGTTTCCCTATTTTCCAGGGGCAGTCCTGGACTTACAGAAGCTGTCCTGGCTTCTCATTTGAGCCCACAATGTCCTGCTTTTCCTTAGGATGTCCCTGTTTTCATTGGAGAAATGTTGGAGGGAATGGGGCAGTGAAGGTGGGGGAAGAAACACAATGTGAGGATGAGCCTTGTTGAGGGCTTGGAATGGCTGCACTCCCATCAGAGCCCACTAGAGGGTAGGCAAAGACAAAGCAAAAACAAATCATACCTCTTTAACAGCTGTCAGTTAAGATTCCTCCATTCTGCTTAGGGTTTCTCTTATTCCCATGCCCATAAGCACACATTTGTACAAAATTTGCACGTAACTAAATTCTGTGCATCTAGAAGTAATGACTAGAGTTTACATTTCACAGAGAGCAGGCCGATTAATTTCCCAACCTCATCACATGAAACAAAAGTTTTTCACCTCCAGCACAGACCACCCGAAGCAGTTCTTAAATTAGTTGATCCATTACCAATACAGTAATCAATTCCCCCACCCCAAACCTTATTCTAAATTGGGATGGGAGGACCTGTCAGTTTCGGTATTCTTCGTTCTGGGGCAGTTTGTGATTTATTTAGTTTAAATCCTCACGAAAAGTCATCAACATTTTAGTTCAAATTTATCCAGATAAACAAATGTACACATGCAGTTTTTACTACCACATATTACATATGCGGGACGCAGGTGGCGCTGTGGGTTAAAGCCTCAGCACCTAGGACTTGCCGATCGAAAGGTCGGCGGTTCGAATCCCTGCGGCGGGGTGCGCTCCTGTCGTTCGGTCCCAGCGCCTGCCAACCTAGCAGTTCGAAAGCACCTTCGGGTGCAAGTAGATAAATAGGGACCGCTTACTAGCGGGAAGGTAAACGGTGTTCCGTGTGCTGCGCTGGCCTGCTAGAGCAGCGATGTCACGCTGGCCACGTGACCCGGAAGTGTCTGCGGACAGCACTGGCTCCCGGCCTATAGAGTGAGATGAGCGCACAACCCTAGAGTCTGGCAAGACTGGCCCATACGGGCAGGGGTACCTTTATTACATATGCAGCTTTTACATATAAATAAATTATTGTTATTCATGTACACATTTGTATTGGTATAGGGACGCGGGTATAGAACTTGCCAATCAGAAGGTCGGCGGTTCGAATCCCCGTGACGGGGTGAGCTCCCGTTGCTGGGTCCCTGCTCCTGCCAACCTAGCAGTTCAAAAGCACGTCAAAGTGCAAGTAGATAAATAGGTACCGCTCCGGCGGGAAGGTAAACGGTGTTTCCGTGTGCTGCTCTGGTTTGCCAGAAGCGGCTTAGTCGTGCTGGCCACATGACACGGAAGCTATACGCCGGCTCCCTCGGCCAGTAAAGTGAGATGAGCACCACAACCCCAGAGTCGGTCACGACTGGACCTAATGGTCAGGGGTCCCTTTACCTTTACCTATGTACTATTGGTATATATGTATATGTATATGTATATGTATATGTATATGTATATGTATATGTATATGTATATGTATATGTATATGTATATGTATACACACACACACGTGCAAAGTCCAAAGGATAGCTATCTTCAGCTTTGCACACTGTTTCAGAAAGTGCAAATTTTGTATGTTCACCTTCAAACATGAACTGAATTGAATGTCTCCCTCACCCCTTGTTCCACAGTCCATTTTTGTTCCATTTCCCCATTCATTAATCCTTACAGGAGGTGTCTTGAGCACATTGTATCTAGTTTATCTGGTGGAGAAGAGGAAGGCCTCAGAGAGGGCTTAATCACACCTCCCTCCTTCAAAGCCAATCCAGCTTCCTTTTATCCAAGCCCTCTGAATTTTGGGCAGCTGGCATGACCTTCTGGCCCACAGAATGAACCGATGCATCAAAAAATTTCCCCTTCTTAAACTTTCCTCTGCCTTGGGATAGTCAAAAGAACGTG